ATGGTGTATTCTACCGAGAACGAGTGGAGTCGAAGATTTGCGAAGACGAAACCCCCACGCGGTTCTCGCGTTCCTACCCTGTACGTCCCACCCCGTATCGAAGCGAATCGAGGCGAGTCCAAGAGGAGAACGGAAGAGTCGAAGGAGCGGGAGGACCAGGGGAGGACCAGGGGAGGACCAGGGGAGGACCAGGGGAGGACGACGTTCGTTTGCGTACGCGCACGCGATGCACCGTGGCTCCGGCCGAAGGACCGAGAGAAGCGGGAGTCGACATTGCGTCCAGAACGCCCGTGTCGTCGCCCGTTCCGTCAGAAAAAGCAAAGGGAAAACGTTCAATAACATACGTTCTCAGCATTTTACGATTAATTATATTCTCGTTCCAAAGCGTCAAAAAGAAGCTGCATACCCGTCAAATGAGTGACGATCTTCGGCAAACCGTTAGTGTTCTTACCTTCTACGGCGAAACGGGGAATGTTCGTTTTCTTCTGATCCATTCCATCAATAATAAGTGTCTTAAAATCATCGTCATTCAACGCAAGAAGTTTGTGCAACTGGTAGTTGCGTCATTGCGCCCTAAAGAAGAAACACAGCACTGTCAGTTGCCCAAGTTATACAAAACATATTTGCAGAGCGTGATCGCAAGTAAAACGCACTCGACGGTCTTTAGATGTTCCTTGCGAAGAGCAGCTGCCGATTCACGCTCAGAGCCTGACAATTTCCTCTCACTCCTTCAGGTTGGAGCAAGTCCCACAGCGAGGGAAAGCATTTGTCTGTAGGCAAAAACACGTGTACTTCATTGAAGGGCTAAGTTAACTCATCAAATCACCAGCGAGTGAAGAGCATCTTTACTCAACAGGGGAATTCCGGGACAAATCACCCAAAAAATTTGGAAATTAACACCCGACCCTCTTCGATTTTCATGAAATTTTTTTTTTGACCTAGTTATTCGATGACACTCGGAAACACTAAATTTGAGCGTTATCGCATCACCAGATCAAAAGCTACAGGGTGCTCATAATTTGGTGTTACCGTCTTACCTCCGATTTTCAATGCCCTGTAACTCAGGAACGATTCATGCTCCATGCTCAAGGTGTCAATTCACTTGGAATAACGTGAGAATGTGAAAAAGAGGCACACACGTTCACTCTGGAAAAATTCAATAGAAGTTTTTTATCGACAAAAGTTTTGACCATTAAACTTGGGATGAGTTCCCAATTTTAAAATTCTGGAAAAAAAATTCAGTGGAAAGATCCATGTCCTTGGTAGCGATAGGAAAAATTACAAAATATTAATATATTTTTTGTATTTGAGAAAAACATTTTTGAATCAGCCCATCTCAACAACCTATGTTATTTGGGTGCTATTCCACGATGCAACACCATAAGTAAGACCCTTTCTCTCCTCGATTTCAGCGATATTGTGTCATTTGGGTCTATTCGAATTATCAGTCCTTCCATGGAATGTCAGAATCCGAAATGTTTATATTTTCCGCCTCTTGGTACATGAGATGTGAATTTCGAAGGTTAAGGCCTTCAGAAACACGTGACCCCAAAGGCAAATTTCAGAACTCCCAAGTAAATTATTTTAGCAAAATTAAGACGATGTTGCATATAGACAGAGATTTTGAACTTGGAACTTTAGGTGAACCACCTAATTTCGAATCCTAATAAACGTTGTGTTCATTCCATTCCAGATTCAATTGAGTGAGCTGCTGAGGTGAAGAATTAAAATTTCCGGGAATCTTGTGGTCAATGCCATGAAAAGAAAAACACTAAAAATCTGGCTCTAAAATTTGTTTCTGATGCCGACAATATATTTCTGCCACTAAGGACAAATGTCCCCACCTCTTTTTTCTTCTATCTTCATGAGCAGACCCTCCTGAAGCGGTATTCGCATTGCAGGAGGAAATGCTTCCATCACTAAAATAATTTCTCCTTTTAATGTTCGCATCCTCACGTGATTCTATGTGAATTGATACATTGATCAAGGATTTCCCGTAAGTGCTTTTGAGTTATACGTGAATCAAAATGGGATGTATGTAGACATCTCTAAATGATGGCTTTAATTTCTGCAGCTTACTGACCCGATTGCAGTGAAATTTGACTCTTCCTCGTTCTGCGAAAAAAAAGTAATATACATAACTTCATGGAAACCTGACGTGGTTGGGTGTTAATATCTAATTTTCTGTCGATTTGTCATGGAATGACCCGATTAGATCATGAAATTAACAAAATTTAATCAATTTTGAAACATACTTAGATGTCAGGTTTGATATAGATCATGTTTTCGCAGTAATTTTTACATTCCGCTATTCACAACTAGCATATGAGCTATTACATGCCTTTCTTGCTGACGTTGCTTGCGAGTTATGGAATTTGCCTTAGGGGTCATGTGTTTCTGAAGGCCTAAACCTTCGAAATTCACATCTCATGAGATGGGCGATTTGGGAGGATTGAGAGGAATTCGACTGCATCTACACCGAGGCAGGGGGAAAAAAAGGGTTCATCGGTTTAAAAAATACATTCACGACATTTTCTTTGCGGTCGACTTTGCCTGGCTGGGATGAAACCGGCCTTTAAATCGTACAGGGTGGGGCAAAATTAAGGAACGTGGGATTTTTGGGGAAACTTTTCAAAGCGATCGCTAGAAGCGACACGAGTCCATAAAACTTTAAAATCCAACGAGCACGAACGGGCTTTGGTAGTGCCTTTTCCCTGAATTCGACCTCGAGTCTTTCCGTTGCCGAATTAGACCTCGTTTTCCTCTCGGAAAGCGTTTCGAGCGGTGGTGCCCGACCCGTGGCCCTCGAGGTCCTAACCCACGACGATCGCCTTCGGGTTTCCTTCAGATGGCATCCGACGATACCGGTGACTTGATGCGGTCCGCGACGGCCGCGGGAGAGAGCCGTGTGGCCCCCGAGCCGAAAAGGTCGAGCGCCGTCGATTCAGAGGAACGAGACGCGCACGCTTTGCACCCCGTCGACGGAGTCGCTCCGAGAAATTTCCAGCTCCGACTCCCCACGGTTGCGGCAGAACGCCGAACGTCGCTTCCTGGAGATGCGAGACGCGTCGAAGATCCCGAGGTCGACCCTCGTGGGCCCGATAGGCCGGGTCGGTCCCGGGTTCCGAGGTCGAGCACGACTTCGCGAGGGTCCGAGGGTCGAACGAGGGTTCGACGTCGTCGGTGATCGCCCGTCGTTCCCATCGCCGCTCGTGCGGGTTACCTTGGAGCTTCTGGTTTCCACGATTTCGCTTCGCGTCGAGGAGAGTCTCTCGAAAAGCGACGGTTCTTTTCTTGCAGGAAGACGTAAAAATGGTGTATTCTACCGAGAACGAGTGGAGTCGAAGATTTGCGAAGACGAATCCCCCACGAGGTTCACGCGTTCCCACCCTGTACGTCCCACCCCGTATCGAAGCGAATCGAGACGAGTCCAAGAGGAGAACGGAAGAGTCGAAGGAGCGGGAGGACCAGGGGAGGACGACGTTCGTTTGCGTACGCGCACGCGATGCACCGTGGCTCCGGCCGAAGGACCGAGAGAAGCGGGAGTCGACATTGCGTCCAGAACGTCCGTGTCGTCGCCCGTTCCGTCCGTACGCCTCGGTCCGGTCGCGCGACGTCACGCGAGCGGTGGGGATCCGGCTTCCGGTCTCTCCTCTCGCACGGCCTCGGCCGTGGCGCCGCGCGTCGGTGCGACTCGCATCGCGGGCCGGCCCGCGACCGCACTCCGAGAACCGCCGCTCGAGAGATCCCCGACGACGATCGCGAGACGAATTCGACATCCCAAACTCTCGATTTTCGAGTTCCTTTCCACCTCAAAACGAGGTCTCGAAGGCGCCGTCGCGGGCATCGATACGGAAATACGTTTTCGCGTTTTTGCGACACGGATGCGCCCCTTTTTTCGAGTCCGCCACGAACGAGAAAGAGATGGGAACGAGAGGTCGGAAAAGCGATCGCGAGAGAAAAAACGAGAAGCGGAGACGTGTCGCTCGAAATCGAGGGCGTCGTTCCCGTTTCCCGGACGTCGCGTCACCTGGTGCTTTTCGCATCGGAACCCGAGGAGACGACGCAAGGCCCGGCGACGGCGGAAATATCTACTCGGGCGGTTTCGCAACGGCCCTCGGCCGATGCGAGGGACTCGGTCCCGCACACGCACGGGATAGCCGGACTCGCTCGAGCAGACGACACGAACTTCGCAACGTGAGTTCCTTGCATTCTCTTCCGTCTTCGTCCTCGGAGACGAGGATCTTCGAGGCACGGGCGATCCGACGGACGACTCGTGCCGGAACGACCGCCGCGAGAGAGATTCGTTTCGGGATTCGGCGGAAGGATCGACTGATCGCACGAGAAACTCCAGAATCCGTACGGAAGAATGGAGAAAATGAGGATATTTCGCGTCGTGGAACGGACCGCGTAAACGAGAATAGACGGATTCTCCCGTGATTCCACCCACGCGAGACGAGAGTGCCGCTCGTCTTGCACGCCCGAGGCCGACTCTCGCGGTCTTCGCGTGCCAGGTCGGCTCTCGCGGTCTTCGCGTGCCAGGTCGGCTCTCGCGGTCTTCGCGTCCCAGGCCGGCTCTCGCGGCTTCGCGTCCCAGGCAGGAACGAGATCGGACTCGGCTCGTCTCGGTCTCCTCGGTTCGCCGTACCGATCCCTCGTTCGCGTTCTCGGTCGAGACGAACCGCGGTGTTTCTCTGCGCTCCGTTCGCGATCGATCGGTACGGCAAACGCGTACGGCAAACTGCGATCGGTAAACCGGCGCGAAACGCATCCGGTGGAGTCGACGAAAGGATCCGGTTCCGGGGCACAGACCGCATTTTTCTTCCACTTCTCTTGGGTGCGTGCCCTCGAAAACAAATTTTTACCTGATGTAAAATTGGGACGGTGAATCTGACGTAAAAACCCGGTTTTCTCTACTCTTTCGACCTGTCAGAAGACCCTTCGGGTAAATATTAGGGGAAAAAGCGGTTGAATCTGGACGAACGAGGGTGACGTTTATCATGGGTGGGACGAATGCTAAAAGAGAGCCACTCTTCGCATCGGAGCGAAAACTTTCGAGTCGGTATCGAAGGTTGCCCCTTAAAAATAGCGGATTCCTCTGCCGAACCCCGTCGGCTAGTTCTCGTTGCAGGATCGTAGCGGCGGTCCTTGCTCTGGCCACGGTCCACGGGATCCGAGGGGATTCGTTCCTCGAAGCCACCAGGGACTCCATAAAGGTCTGTCGCTCTCGCCCTCTCTCGTCGCCGACTTCGCGTCGGTCGGAGTCGGCGACGGTCTCGCGGTTCTCCCCCCGGATGCTCCGAGACGCGTGCGATCCGATGCAGGAAGCGGAGAGGGAGTACGGGAAGGAGCTGCAGATTCTCTTGCTCTCGGGGGCGAGGAGCCGGAGGCCGAGCTTCCACGTCAAGAGCACGAAGAGATCCCAGAAGATCGGGGACGAGGCACGCATCCTACGGATCGCCACCTCCATCCTGGAGCAAAAGTGAGCGGACCCACGCCTCGAGGCGAACGATATCGTCTGCCTCCGTGAAAAATACGACTCTCGTTCTCGGGACGAGGTCGGAGATTCCTCGGAAGGAAGCGGAATACCTCGTTCGTCGGGAGATGTTCTCTTGGGAAAGGGAGGAAAGGGCTCGATCCGGCGCACCCCCTGCCAGCTGCTCGGGCGTCCAGCCCGACTGCGCCTCCCGAGACCCCAACTACAGGACCTACTATACCTCGTTCGTCGGGAGATGTACCCTTGGGAAAGGGAGGAAAGGGCTCGATCCGGCGCACCCCCTGCCAGCTGCTCGGGCGTCCAGCCCGACTGCGCCTCCCAAGACCCCAACTACAGGACCTACAGCGGAGTTTGCAATAACCTCGGCGAGGCAGGCGATCCGGATGCCATCTACTGGGGATCCGCAGAAATCTACTATCGTCGCATCAACAACAGCAACTCCTACGACGACGGTCAGCGCCGTTTTTCTTCGTATTTTCTTTTTGGACGGAGACCCATCTCGATGAAACCAGAGCGTTCTCTCGCCGTCCGATACTCGATTGCCTGTCGAGCCGGTACCTCGTCTCCCGATAAAATTAAAATAAAAAACGATCAGCGAAGTGCTTCGAAAGCGTCTCAGCCCGGGTATTTCCTTTCGGTGAATGGTTTCCCCAGCACCCAGAATCCCATCGATCGCAGTTTGAAACGAGCCTCGCACAGGTATTTCAATTGCACGGGGTGACCGTGTCGACCCGAACCGACTACCGATCCTCTTTCATCCCGAAGTAGTTGCAAGCGAGATTGCACCACCGGTCGAAACGCTCCAAGATTTCTTGCTTCTCTCCATTTCATTCCCCTGTGGCTATTACTAAATCGAGAGTTCCTCTGGAGAACTCGAAATGTTGGCGTTAAATTTTTAAAAAGTGCGAAAGTAGTCTCGAAGTCAGTCCTGCAAGAGTCGTTTGCACGATGATGTAAGCCGGTCGTTAATTTTCAATCCACTACTTCATCACGTCGTAATAATGCCCAAGAACCCTCTCGGATTTCGAAAACTCTACGAATATGAGAAAACTCCAGACGACACGAGCAGACAACATACGAGAGAAAGATGAGGAAAAGCTTGGGATCGGCACGTGTATGTCGAACGACGACGCCGACACGAGGGCGCTGTAATTTCCGTCGAAAATTCGTTTTTTGAAATATAAATTTAGGATCACGATACGGAGCTAGGCCGGTTTCGTCCAAGGTATGACTTCATCCGTGAATAACGGCGGGAAGATTCGGTTCGGAATCGTACGGA